CAGTGATAATAGTAAATTAAAGTAACAGAGATTGTTTTGGCTTTTAGCAGCTCTAGAATAAAGTTAGTGTCCAGCTAAAGTTAGTTTTGATCGATTCACTTCCATTGCAAAGATCATTAGTTATTAACTTAGGGGCCGCTAATACGACACCGTTCTAACAGAAAACCCTTAACGCGCTATGGCCCACTCATTCGCACAACAACAGTGCCTGGTGGAGAATTAGTGTGGACAAGGCCTGAGACTGCTGGCCTGGTGCTGCTGTCCTCAGACTGTGACGTATGACTCTGTGGTTGGATGAATATTTGAATGCTACCAATTCCGCTCTGAATTCTGACTTTTGATGCAGCCTGAATCATAATCACACTGTGTTCGTTCACTGGCCAGAGGTGAACTGGCTCCTGGCAGGTTTCTCCCAAGGTTTTTTTTTTCCCCATTCTGTCACCTGATGGAGTTTGGGTTCCCTGCCACTGTTGCTTCTGGCTTGCTTAGTTGGAGATACTTTATATTCAACTATATTATTGATCTGACTGTACTGACACTGTTGTATGAGAACTGAACTGAGGTGGATGCTGCCATAATTATTTATTTATTTATTTATTTATTTTTTGCAGAACTGCTTGAAATGAACTAATTTAATAATTGATTATCTTTACAACAGAACTGAATCAACACTGAACTGACTTCAGCTGAACAACAGCCGAAATGCTGCTTTGAAACAATCTGTATTGTATAAAGCGCTATGTAAATAAAACTTAGCCTACTTGACTTATGGGGCGTGACTCTATTAAGACTGTATAGGCTCTGCCCTCACTTCTGCCCAGTGGCTGCTGTCCTAAAAACTGCTTTTGTGTACTCTAAACAGCAAAAACATGTATTTTCAGGTAGGTGTACTGCTCCATTGTCATACATTTATATTATAAATATTTATAGGTACTAATATAAGTAATTATCTTCAAAAGTAATAGGCTTGTGCCCAGTAAAAGGGGTCTAGCGACGCACCAAAATTTCTTAGCACCAAATTTCGGGTACGCTGGGTACGTTTATATTTACCTGTTATTAAATGAACTAAGCTGCCATCTAGTGACAGTGTTCAACAGCTGATAAAGGAATGAATTTCCCCACTTCCCTGCAGAGTCCCCTCTCTAATTTAAACACAGCTTTATCCGCCACTTTTTGCCATTGAGATGAATGGGAATGTGTGCCAATTAACTTAAATTCACCCCTAATGTAATCAGAAATTACCCAGGGCTCATGATAAATTATGTTTCTAACCTGTTATCTAACATTTTATATTGCATAATAAGGTATTTGCATTATATCTTTAGTCCTGATTTACTGTCTCATGGATAAGTGTTTTTTTTATGTGCATTAAAGTGCTTTTGATGGATAAAACAGTGATTACATCAAAATCTGTCATGACACGTATATGAACGTAAAAAAAAAGTGTGCTTTACTTATCTCTGTTGAGTATACCTGTAATGTGCAATATATAGGTAAATAGATTTTAATAATTGTTTTGAGAATTTATAACACAATGATTTAATTGAAGCATTTGTAAATCAATTTATGCCACGCTGTTTTCATGTTATCAAAATGAAAATCAATTTCAGGTGGGAAAATATTGTGCCCTAATATAGAGCAAGTTAATTTATAACATTGAATGTCATCTTATACAACATAACTAGACTATTTTTTTTTTTTTTTTACTTTCTTCCTCTGTCACTCAAGCTGATTGGCAGAAACTGATGGGCTGGGTTTGTCTCTGCCTGCAAATAAGAGATTTACATATTTGAGGCGAGGTCCTGTTTAAAGGCTATAGCGCTGGACATAATAGATGCACCATCTCAGGCCCAAACATTGCAATCCAGGACTAATTAAAAAGAGTGCTGCGGAGTGAGGATGGGTAGACAACTAACAACAACCATTACAACAGTCCAATTCATTTATTTGACTGCTGCGGTAGCAGAGGTGGAGATGATCACTCATTACGCCTATTTACAGCTAATCACAGCTGCAGGAAATAGCATACAGATTTCCCACACGGTGCCATACTAGTTAAAGGGGGTGAAAAAGGAAGCAATTGATTTCAAATTAATTGTTTGAAAGGTTTTCTCAATGGGAGCCATCTCTCCAAACAAGCTGAACATTTAGTATAAAATGTAATCAAAATTAATTAAAGCCCTAACAAATTGCATACATCATAGTTAACATGGGCAGATAGTACAGCAGGAAATGTTATGAAACAAATTAGCTCCAACAATGAAAGAAAATGACCTCACATAACTAAATATTACGGTCGTTTCCATGAGCCATATTTCTTAATGAATTCTCTAATTAATTTAATTCACACATTGTGCATAATTTGAAACATGAAATGTCACTGGGTCAGATTTAACCATAGTCATGCTGGCTGTCGGTTTTAACAAGAGACACATTAGCTAAACATGACCTCTATGCAAATGAAAGACCAACTGTTGTAATTTTAATTCCAAATCCCTAATTAGCATGTTATAAAGACATATTGCACGATTGTTCCGCTCAACTCAAGACATGCCAGAGTCACTTTTTCGGGGTCTGAAAATATCTCAATTAAGGGGGTTGTCTGCATTTTACAAGGTTCTTTTCAACATGTTCAACCACAGTAATTACATCTTCTACTATTCTATTCTATTCTACTACTCATTTGGAATAAACAGGTAACATATAAACTAATTTACAATTCTCTCCAAGATTTAAGCCACCAGTCAAAGTGATCATTTAATTTTTTCTAATTCATGTACAATTTTTATCATATTTTTTTTTAATAAGTAAAGTTTAACTGTAAAAATAGCATGAATTTTGGAATTTGTTAGTTTTTAGATCGTTTGGTATATTCTGTTTTCCTTTATTGGCAGCTTGACTTTATTAATCTTTAATATTATTTAATATTTAATTTAATATTATCTACTTTTTATTGATATATTATCTAGTCTCGGTTACACTTTACAATAAGGTTCATTGGTTAACATTAGTTAACTACCTTAGTTAACGTGTACTAAGAATGAGCAATACTTCTAGCATTTATTAATCTTAGTTAATATTAATTTCAACATTTACTAATACATTATTCAAAGCAAAGGTTGTATTTGTTAACATTAGTTAACAAACATTAACATAACATAACATTACTGTGAACTAATATGAACAAACATTGAACAGCTGTATTTTTATTAACTAACATTAACAAAGATTAACTAGTAACAAATGTATTGGTCATTGTTAGTTCATGTTAATACATTAACTAATGTTAACGAATGACACTTAAGCATTTTATGTTTCTCCTTAAAGGTGTGTTGTGAGTGTAATAATAATACTGTGCTGTTTATTTCAAAACCATTCGTTTATTCTAGATGAACAATAGGCTTTCAGGTTTTCTCTTGCAACAAAACAGGTTAGACCAGACTTGATCTAAATAGCAGCTTTTAAATCTTTCACAATCTTTCAGAGCATACACAGATGACAGATATAAGTTATAACCATGTTAATATTAATCCTCTACTCTTCAAAAAAATACTTGGTACAAGGTATCATATAGTAATAGTGTGATACTTTGAAATATACTATGGAACTGAATGCCCATCCATGGCACTGGGCAAGTTATATGGTATTTACACTGAGTCAAAAGTTTGGGACACAGTTGACTGAATTTATATTTTTCTTGGTCTTATGCTTGAAATTAGTTTTGTACACAAATATAAACAGGCAATAGTGAATGAATCATGGATCATTTTCTTTAGAAAACTTTTTTTATTTATTAATTTTACTAAATGGATTAGTTGCAGCATAGCCTACTTAATGCTAAAAAGCATTATTATGTAGGCTACCTCATTAAGTTGGTTGAGATAATATCCATACACAAATAGTCAAATAAGTTAAAATAGGCCTATAAGATTTATATTTTATTTTAAAAGGACATTGTTGGTCATTTTACATTCCCGTATTATTATTCTAATAGTATGAGTAAAATAGTTATTTATGGAACAAGTAGGTGTGCACCAAGTAAGTTACTTCAATCATGCTATATTGCCATGGTAATCAAAAAACCAACTAGGCTATAGTGATATAATGTTTTATGTTTTAAACGAGTGTATTGACTAACATACAGTTATATGTCTAACTCGTACCACACCCTGAACAGGATTTAATTTGTCAGTGCGTCCAAAATATCGCTGTATATTGACACGTCGTCACATAAATGTGTTTAGCCTACGTGTAAAACAGGGCAGGTCTGATGTGCAGGACGCCAGCAGGAACTACGGGCTTAAAGGAGGATGTCCTTAACCCAGTGGAACGCGCGCGTGTGTGTGTGTGTGTGTGTGTGTGTGCGTGTGTGTGCTTAGAAGTGGCACCAGATAATTGTCGAAACAAACCTTTAGAATTTCGAAACGAGTGCAGAACACATTCATTTGAGAAGACCGGAGCAGCACCTGTGTGATGACAAACTTTGCGACGACGATCTCAATTGGAAGTTTCACGCGACTATATCAGCGTTCTTTGAAACGAAATATCTAAAATGGATTTATTGTGGATCTAATGTCTTTCAGTGCAAAACTGCGGAAGTTTGCCAGGACAACAGACTGCAGAAATGTTGCCACGCAGTCGTTTTTGAGTTCGGGATGTTTAGTGAAGTAGTAACCCCTCCATGGCTACGTTCTCACACTTGGTGTTTAGCAAACAACATTTACAACATCTTAAATTGTCTATTTACACCACCAGTCACAAGTGGAATAAACATCGTCTGTATGCCCAGGTAAACCACAATCAAATCCCGTTTCTAGTATCGCGATAGCTTGAATAACGACTGTAACTGTAGTGACAGAGTTGTTTCATTCTGCTAACTTTTGCGGCTTCTCTGCTATGTTGTTAAAACTTTGGTTCGAATTGAACTCATTCCTTTTGTTCCATAATGACCCACATAGAACATAAATAATCTACATAATGACCCACATAGAACATAAATAATCTATCTGTTTCTAATTCAGTTGCGACTTGTGAATATTTCAGGTAGTCACATCAGTTTAAGAATGTGGAGTCAGTCAGTACTGCACTGAGTGTGAACATTAAAAAAAATGAAGTTTAGAAAGTATTTCAGAGGCAGTGGGAGGGTCCTAGCGTTTGTGTTTATCGCATCTGTAATCTGGCTCCTCTTTGATATCGCAGCACTGAGGATATCCTTCAATGATGTGAATCAGGATCTCAAAGAGAGAGAGATTGTACTAAAACAGAGAAGGAGTAAAGGCAATGTAGAGAATGTCTTTAAACATCCTCTGCAAAAAGTAAACGTAGAAAAGAGGGAGTTTTTAAAAAACAAAAAAAGGTTTGGAAAGAAAGTTGATGAGGTTTACAGAAAGTGGCCAAAGTTTAGGACAGAACCCCAAGCTCTGCTAAACGACGATAAACATTTGAATTCAATGTTAATGGCTGACAAGTCTTTTGTGGAACAAAAGGATGTAATTAATCAAACCAAAGTGAATCTAACTGTGAAATCACCTGTGAAAGGAACAATTATTAGCATCCCTCCAAAAACAAATGAGACAAAAACTGAAATTAACGGCAAAATGAACAGCATATCTGCAAAGATGAACAAAATAAATGCTGCTGTTGGACAGACAGAAGCAAATCTAGATGTTAAAGCACATTTACTTACTAAAGCACTGCCTGCTGTCCATGAGAAAATGTATTCTCCTGCGCTCAAAGAAAACACTGTGGAGAAAGTTAATCATACCAATGACACACTACTAATGTCACATAAGAAAGTACATGTCGATTCAGGTTTACAAAATAACTTGAGTAACGATTTTCTTAAACCAACAAAGACTGATAAACCGACAAATATTATTGACAATAGAGAGAAACATGCCGATACTTTCAACAAAACTAAACCAGATATTACTAAAAAACCAGTAGAAACAGCACACTCTCCTAGTGTGCGAGTGAGGAGGTCAGGAGAGCTTCATAAGGTTATGGCTCTAGATGTGACAGACTTGCCCAGAGATCCACAGGCCGTGGGACAGTTTGGACAGCCTGCACGTGTTCCCAGAGATAAAGAACTGGAGAGTCGAAGACGCTGGAGTGAAGGATATTTTAATGTATTCCTGAGTGAACAGATACCAATAGATAGAGCCATTCCAGACACCAGACCCCAAACGTGAGTTTGAACCATAATATTTTTGTTGTATTCGAGGAGGTAATGGCAAGCAGATGTAGCACTGTGTAACACCTCCATACCCTGTATTGTTTAGATGTTCAGAAAATCTTGTTCATGATGACTTGCCCAACACCAGCGTGATCTTTTGCTTTGTGGATGAGGTGTGGTCAACTCTGGTGCGCTCAGTGCACAGTGTGCTCAACAGGTCTCCTCCACACCTGCTGAAGGAGATCATTCTGGTGGACGACTGCAGCACCAAAGGTCTGAGAGACAATTCTGTGCTGATTTACTTGCATTTTAAAGAAATGATTTGAATTATGTGAGATCAGTGACAGGGTTTATGTCTAATAGTTAAAAGCTTTAGACCTCACACATAGTGTTAAGGTCCATTTTGGGTGATCCAAACTCACAAGTCAGCAGCACTCAATACAAGGGTAAACATGATACAAAACAGGCTTATGTTTCACAGTAATCCATAGAATAACTGTTTACTTCTTCAATAAGGAACTCATTTGACTACCTAAAATCTTGACAAGTTTAACTTAACAATGCTTAATCTATGGCAAAACATCGAAAGTCCAGGAATAAAAATATAAGCATGGATTTAATCATTAAAGAAAAAGTTAGTAAAAGCCTCTGACTTATAGACTTATGTTATACTCTGTTCTTTAAAATTAAGCATTTTTGCTTTAAAATTGTCATAGAAGTCAGAAAAGTACCTCTAATTAAAGAAGCAACTGAAGATATGTTAGTCCTCACCTTTCTGTGGTTTTGTTTCTCTATGAGGGATTTTGTTTGTGTTCTAGACTACCTGAAGGAGCAGCTGGATGTTTATATGGCTCAGTTCCCTAAAGTACAAATCATTCGTCTGAAAGAGAGACAAGGCCTCATCAGAGCCAGGATTGCAGGGGCCAGTGCTGCTACAGGTACTGTACACTCGCACTAATTCATTTTACTGAGAAAGCTTCAATCCATACAGTAGCAATATGCGTGTCCTTGGATTTGTGCTTAATTGAATTGGTTTGGAAATTGGGATACATAGCATAGACAGCTGGTATCTCTGCTATAAACAATGATTGTTGTTTTAGTGTTTGGCTGTAATGATTGTTTCAACATATGTTGTTTCATCTGCAGGTGAAGTGTTGACATTCCTGGACTCTCATATTGAGTGTAACGTGGGGTGGTTGGAGCCACTGTTAGAAAGAGTTTACCTGGACCGCAAAAAAGTGGTCTGTCCTGTTATTGAGGTCATCAGCGATAAGGACATGAGGTAATGAAGTATATTCAGTCTTGCAATTAAATAACTGTTGAGCTCCCCTTACGGAACAAAAATAAATGGGAATATACTGCAAAATATAATGCAATATATTACATAATACATTTCCATATATGGGAAATAGTGCTTATATTTTTCAATACACTGCAATATATGCATTGACCATGTATGGCTATATATTTATGAATAATATGTATAAATGAAGACAAAAATAGCAGTACATGTAATATTCACAAAGTTGTATCCTTTATTGTGTACATATATTACACATACATGTTCCCATATAAATGTGAATGCATGTTCACACACATATATATACACACACATTCACGGAATGAGTTACAACAAGATTTCTAGTTCCCAGCATGCTTTGCTTCTGACTGGCTTCTGAAAGGAGAGCAAATGTTAAAATTAAGTATTATTTAATGTTTTTGCTCAATATTAATATAGGGGGAGATCTGTTAGTGTTCTATTATTTCGGAATTTAAAAGATGTTTTGGTATGTGTGAGTTTTTGGGGTTTCCATTGTGCTGAAGAGTAGAGCCTGTGGTTCAGTTGATGATTGGCCGATCATCATTAAGACGATAATTACTATATTTTTAAAGTAATGGCTGTGCGTTCCTCATCACAATGATAGTCTTTTGGCTTAATACTTTAGTACATGCATGTGTGCTTGTGCTCTTGTTAACTAGCTTGAAAGTATGAAACATTTATAATGTAAATAATAAAAAAAAATATATATATATATATATTACATTATATATTTCTCTATATATGTGTTTATTTTGCATGAGTAAATATATCTGCAATATATCACGCATGCAGTACCATATCTGATCACATATACATCTATATATTATGAAGTGTATTACTGAATATAAAATTACATACATTATGATATATTAGTAAATATATGAACAGTGGAAATTCCTTATGTATTGTAATATATTACTCTGTTTATTCTCAAATATACTGTTAAATTATTTAATATATTGATCATTCATATGTGGGGAATATATATTCGTTCCGTAAGGGTCCCCTTTTGTACAAGGCACTTCAAAGAATACCATGGTGTAATAACCATGTCCTCATGAGACTAAAGAGCTATTTCCAGTGTATAGGTCCTCCACTGCTCCACTAAACTGTTAAAATTCATGCACAAAAATGCATTTATTTGTTTGTTTTGTTTCAGTTACATGCTTGTTGATAACTTCCAAAGAGGCATTTTCAGATGGCCACTGGTGTTTGGCTGGAGTGCTCTACCTGAAGAATATATTAGAAAGAACCAGGTCAAGGATTCAGACCCCATCAGGTAACATCAGTGTAATAGCGTTGGTCAAATCTGAACTACGACAAATAGGCCATCTAAACAACACATTTCTGATGAATTTACAATGCGTGATGGGGCTAACAGCAGTTTCTAATCTATCAGCCATACACTACCAGTCAAAAGTTTTGGATCGGTACGATTTTAATGCTTTTAAAAGAAGTCTCTTCTGCTCACCAAGGCTGCTTTTATTTGATTAAAAATACAACAACAAAAATGTAATATTGTTAAATATTATGACAATTTAAAATATCTGTTTTCTATTTTAATATATTTTAAAATGTAATTTATTCCTGTGATCAAAGCTGAATTTTCAGCATCATTACTCCAGTCTTCAGTGTCACATGATCTTTCAGAAATCATTCTACTATGCGGCTTTGATGCTCAAAAAACATTCATTATTGTTATCAATGTGGAAAACAGTTGTGTACAAATTTTTTCAGGATTCTTTGATGAATAGAAAATTCAAAAGAACAGCATTTGTTTGAAATAGAATCTTTTGTAACAGTATAAATGTCTTTACTGTTCAAAGGTTTGGGGTCAGTAAGAATTTGTATTAATTAAATTGATCAAAAGTTACAGTAGTGTTTAATGTTACAAAAGCTTTCTATTTCAGATAAATGCTGTTCTTTTGAACTTTCTTTTCATCAAAGAATCCTGAAATAAAATTGTAAATAACTGTTTTCAACATTGATAATAATGAGAAATGTTTCTTGAGCATCAAATCATCACATTAGAATTATTTCTGAAGGATCATGTGACACTGAAGACTGGAGAAATTATGCTGATGAATCAGCTTTGATCACAGGAATAAATTACCCTTTATTATATATTCACATCGAAAACAGCAGTTTTAAATTGAAATAATATTTTACAATATTAAAATGGCCTGCATTTATATAGCGCTTTCACAGACCCAATGGCCACCAAAGCGCTTTACAATTTGCCTCACATTCACCCATTCACTCACTCATTCATACACCGACGGGCGACGGCAGCCATGCAAGGCGCCATCCAGCTCGTCGGGAGCAGCTGGGGTTAGGTGTCTTGCTCATGGACACCTCGACACTTGGTCAGGTGGAACCGGGGATTGAACCACCAACCTTCCGGTTTGTAGACAACCCACATGAACCACTGAGCCACTGCCACCCTTTCTTAATGTTTTTATTTTTATTTTATTTTTTTAGAAGTGACTTCTTTTAAAAACATTAAAAATCTTACCGATTAAAAACTTTTGACTGATAAGTGTATGTCAATGGGAATTAAGGCGTGAAACTAATGTTGTCCACCAGAGAGAGCCAAAGGATAAGAAAGCCTTTTATGTCTCATAGATACAATATAATATTTATATATATATATAGATATATATATATATATATATACATTTTATTTTAATATCGTTTGAGAGTTTAATATAATCAGTTTGTAAAAACTAAATGTTGCCAGACATGGACTAAAGTTCATGTCCAATTAAATGAAGATACAATATTTTTTGTCTCTTTTAACATAATACATAGAATAATACTTCCCTAAAGGCACTCATAAGTACATGGCCATGTATCGGCGTATCGTTTACATGAGTCGTTGGTGCTTTGATAATTGCCTCTTCCAGGTATATTTTTAATTGTTATCAGTCATTTTTACATGTAGATAATATTTCTGAGCCCTTTCTCTCTTTACTGTGAACAAGTGATTTACATAAAGCATATCCTTAATATTTAATTGGTCAGCAGATTCCCATTCACAGGAGAGATTCAGTTTTATGTCCCAATTCATTCGTTTTGTTCAACAATTAGATGACCCCGCTCATCTCAGTTCATGAAAAAAGAAAGTTGTAAACATAAAAAAAAAAATCAAAGTCATTGATTCTTTCATAAATGAAACACCATATTGTATAATTGTTTTTTCAATGTCCATGCAGATACTACGCTCTTACAAATTAACTATGAAGAATATTAGACGTAGTAGTTCCCTATCAGTCAGTCACGTTGGATGTTAAAGGAGAACTCCGGCGCAAAATGAACCTTTGGTCTAATTACACATTGTTACCTAGTCAACCGTTATCTGAGATTTGTTTTCATGATTATCGAATGTAAATAGTTTTATCTCTAAAAACAGTTTAGCCTATAAAGCTAGTATAACGGTAGTATATTGGGCATAGATCAATGACAAATAAAAATCGCTTGTTAACCTGTTAAGCTTCAAGCCCACTTTTGAAAAATCCCCAGAAATGACATACACAAACTGAAACAGATACAGTTCATGAACCCTTTGCACTAAAAGCACAAGTATGATCTCATTTGAAAGCTGACACCTGGTTGTTTATTGTAAATGTAGAATTAATTATTGTCATAATGAAAAAAACAATTTTAAATAGCTTCAAAGTTTTGTAAAGTTATTAGAAATTTATTTTTATGAAACATCTTCATGAAAATAAAATTGAAGTTGGCCCTGGAGCAATCTAGAAATGCACAGCAGCTAAAGCCACATGTCTGACCATTTTATATTTAAAATCTGAAAATGATAAGTATAAAGCTCTGTATTTAGTTAAATGTTTTTCAAGATCATGTCAAATTACTTTATTTTGATTAGACTCTATTAGCAAACTGATGTTTAGTCATCTTCTGAGTCATCTATTCAGTCTATTGTCTCTATTGTTTTGTGGTGCCCCATTCAGTCTCAGTCTCCTCTGCACACATTTACACCTCTCCAGACTGGTTATTATGGCTCTAAATATGCATTTCTTTTGTCTGCATTATAGCTACTAACGACTGGCTATTCACAAGCTATTCATAGGGTTTCAAACCCTAATTTATTTTATCAAAGTTCTCACTAAATATTTGAAACTGGTATCAAATGCACTGAAACATTTCAGTAAGCATTCCTATTTAGAAAAAAAATCATAAAACAATAACTGCTCGTGGCAGGTGCGCCTGGGCCCGCTAGCATGTTAGCTTAGCACACCATCAATACACGACCATTTATGAGATTAAAACTATGTTTGCGCTCCAAACTCACTATATAACGCAAGTCTAGTGTTTTAAATAATCTTCTGTGATCTAACTTGGCTTCAGATAAAAAAAAATCAGACAGAAAATGTATTATTTAGTGTTCTGAACGATGATGAAATCTATATCGATTAGCATTACATTATAAATATAATCTATTATTATGAAATACCTGGCATGGCTTGAAGAACACAGGTAACTCAAATATCATTGCAATCATGTTTATTGTCTTCAAAACATCTTTATCTGCATGTTACAGCGATCTCTGTACTTTCTGTATCACTCAGTGACGTCCTGGAATGTCACATGACTATGGGTCTTCTTCATGATCCATATATGGACTTTTATTGGACATAATAGCGCCCCCATGCTATTGGTATGAATGGAAAACACAGCACATCTCAGTAAGAAGCGATCATTATGATTACATCGACGCATTTGGGTATAAATTCAATAAATATTATTCCTGTCTATAGAAATATGATGTGAATCTATGAGAATATATCAATATTTCTCCACATCTGCACATTGTTGAGCTAAAAGCCCTCAGGGACGTTGTTTTGTGAATCGCTGTCATGACGACAGCACGGAGTGTTTTTTATGAATGGACCAGCTGACGCTCATAATTCATATTAAAGGTATCGACTCATTTTTTTAATTTCATAACTCCTGACACAAATTAAGACATAACTGTCACTATAAGTTTCTCAGAATACAATAGTGGTCAAATACTGAATCTTGAGTCTTATATCTTTTTAATGATGTATAGTTTGTCAAGGTATAACATTAAATCTGATAGTATATTTGAACTAAATAAATAAAAAAACGCTTCAGTGCGCCGACGCTCTGGAGAAGGTTAAGAGGTTAATACCACTAACAAGGCTCAAAATAGCCCCACACTAACACGGTAGCATAATGAGGGTCCCTACCTTCAAACCGAAGCATTGAGAACTTTGTCAGTATCCAGACAGTTTAATAAGAAGATATTTTTTACATACAGTCAACTTCGCGTATACAGACAGGAGCCATCTTTGAAAAAGAGTCTCTACCAGTCGATCTACGAACGCCGATCCAAGCCTGCTGTTCGCACTCACCTTATCACAACTTATAGCTCGTTCACATCTCACCAGCGCACTTGGATCGGCGTTCGTAGATCAACTGGTAGAGACTCTTTTTCAAAGATGGCTCCCGTCTGTATACGCGAAGTTGACTCAATGCTTCGGTTTGAAGGTAGGGACCCTCATTATGCTACCGTGTTAGTGTGCGGCTATTTTGAGCCTTGTTAGTGGTATTAACAAGCGATTTTTATTTGTCATTGATCTATGCCCAATATACTACCGTTATACTAGCTTTATAGGCTAAACTGTTTTTAGAGATAAAACTATTTACATTCGATAATCATGAAAACAAATCTCAGGGAACGGTTGACTAGGTAACAATGCGTAATAGGACCAAAGGTTCATTTTGCGCCGGAGTTCTCCTTTAAGTCAGAACTGAACTGACGAATTACTCAATCTCGTCTGAGAGCCCAATCACTAGAGCCCGACCGATATGGATTTTTTTTTTTAAGTTTAATATTGATATATAGGCAGATATTCTTTATGTGTATATTATAGTACAGTTAACCTTTGACTGGTACTGTATATAGAATACATATACATAAGTCAAGTCAAGTGACATTTATTTATATAGCGCTTTTTACAATACAGATTGTTTCAAAGCAGCTTTACAGAGATAACCGGGAACAATGCAAAAACGTTTGTTTCCAAACGAAAATAGCGTCACAGTCCAGCTTAAAGGCACACTATGTAGAAATTGTGTTTTTGTCAAACAGCGACCCCTATGGTCGCTGTGGATTACTTGCACTGTCGTAAATAGCTAGCTAGACATATGTGGAAATTATTGGACTGGTATAATTATCAACAATGGATGAATGAACAGCATCGTAAAAAAATGACATACTACAAGCAAGCGCAA